GAGAGAGAGAGAGAGAGAGAGAGAGAGAGAGAGAGAGAGAGAGAGAGTGTGTGTGTGTGTGTACAGGTTGCTTTTGAAACTAGTTTTCATTTTTCTGGGGTAAATGCCCAAGAGTTTAATTGTTGGGTCACAAGGTAATTGCAAGTTTAATTTCCAAAGAAACTATCAAACTGTTTTCTAGAGTAATTGTACCACTTTAATTCCCACCAATAATGTATGAGTGATTCAGTTTCTACATATGTGTGATATCATTTGGCATTATCACTATTTTTTTTTATTTTAGACATTCTGATAGGTATATAGTAATATCTCTTCAGGGTTTCGATTTGCATTCCCCTAATGTTGAATATGTTTTTAAGTCCTTATTTGCCATAGACATGTCCTCTTTTGTAAAATGTATCTTCATTTCTTTTGTCCATTTTCTAATTGGATTATTATTCTTTTTAATTTTGCTGTTGAGTTTTGAGAGTTCTTTTTATATTCCAACTATAGATTCTTTTTCAAATATGTGGTTTACAAATACTTTCTCCTGGTCTTTGGTTTTGGTTTGTTTTAAATTCAAGAGTATTTATTTGGCATTGATTACATGCCAGACATTGAATCAATAGTTAAATTGCTCTTTGGACCTGTAAAGTAGTTGAGCTCAGCTTCACTGACTTGGGAGGACTTTAATGTGGAGACATGGCTGTCACTCAACTCCTCCCCCTTATTAAAGTGATACATTTTGCTGACCAAGGAATAGGGATGAGGAATTGAAAGGAGCTGTTGCTGGCCATAGATTATGCAAATCATGTTCCTTATCTTTTCATTCTCTTACCAGGGTCTTTTGGAGAGCAAAGGTTTTCAAATTTGATGAAATACAATTTATCAATTTTTATTCTTATGGAAACTTGCTTTTGGTATCAAGTTTAGGAACATTTTGCTTAGCCCTGGATTCCAAAGATTTATTTTGCTGTTTTATTTTGTTTGTTGGTTGATTTTGTTTTTGTTTTTAAGGTTTTTGGTTTTAGGCTTTCTTTAATTCATTTTGAATTAATTTTTTATAAGGTATAAAACTTAGATTAAGATTCATTTTCTTGCTTATGGATGTTGAATTGCTCCAGCATCATTTGTTGAAAGGTTTTCTTCTAATGACTTGGTTTGGCATATTTATCAAAAATCAGTTTGGTATGTTTGTGGGTCCACTTTTGGCTTCTCTATTCTGTGTCATTGATCTATGTGTCTTTTCCTCTGCCATTGGTTAATTTCTGTAGCAATAAGGTTTGTTTTTTTTTAACTGTCATATTTTGTTTGTTCTTTTTAGACATATATGACAGTAGAGTATATTTTGACATATTATATATACATGGAATATAACTTCCCATTCTTGTGGTTGTAATGATGTGGAGTTATACTGGTCATGTATTCATATATGAACATAGGAAAGTTATGTGCAATTAATTCTATAGTCTTTCCTATTCCCATCTTCCCTCCCTTTCCATCATTCCTCTTTTTCTAATCCAATGAACTTCTAGTGTCCCTCTCTACTTTTAGTGTGTTAACATCCACATATCAGGAAGAACATTCAGCCTTTGGTTTTTTGGGATTTTGTTTTACTCTTTTTTTTTTTTTCAGAACTGTTTTAGCTATTCTAGTTCCTTTTTCTTTCCATGTACATTTTGGAATAATTTTGTCTACATCTACAAATAATTTTGCCTGAATTTTGATAGGAATAGCATTAAACCTTTTTATTAATTTGGGAAGAATCAACATCTTTATTGTTTTGAATTTTTTTTTCATTCTTGAATATACTCTCTGTGTCCTTCTGATTTTTTTCACTACCATTGTGTAACTCTCAGTATAAAAAACTTGTACTGTTATTTCAGTCTGGATTCTCTAGCAAAACAGAACCAGAGGTTATATAATTTTTGCATATTGATGTTACATGCTATTTACTTATGTGATATGACCTTGCTGAACACACTTAATAATTCAAGGATTTTTTTGTATATTTCTTAGAATTTTCTACACAGGCAATCATATCATTTATAACTTGGGACAGTTATAATTCTTCCTTTCTGGTCAGTATTCCTTTATTTCCTTTTCTTGCCTTATATAATGCTTAGAATTTAAAGGATTATGTTGAGTAAGAGTGGTGTGAATAGATATCCTTGACTTGTTCCCTGTCTTATGGGAAAGCATAAGTGCAATGTTAGTTTTTTGTAAATGTCCTTTATCAAGTTGCAGAAGTTCCCCTTTATTCCTATTTTTATGACAGTTCTTATCATGAAAGTGTGTTGAACTTTGTAAGAATTTTTTCTGCATCAGTTAATTTATTTGATCATGTAATTTTTACTATTTAACCTATTAATATGATAGATTACATTGATTGACTTTTTAATACTAAACCAGCTCTACATTCCTGGGATAAATTTTACTTGGTCATGGTGCACAATTCATTTTACTAAATTTCCTTGGGTGATATTTGGCTACATATCTTTGCATGAGGAATACTTGTCTGTAGTTTTATTTTTTTAACTGCTTTGGTCTGGTTTTGATATGAGGCTAATACCAGCTTCATAAATTGGACAGGAAATGTTTTCTCATCTTATTTTCTGGAAGAGGTCATGTAAAATTGCTGTTAATTCTTTTTTCCTGACCTAAATGCTATTTAAGTTTGTTTATTTTTATTACAAATTAATATATTCATAGGGTGCAAAGTCATGTTATGATTTGTGAATAAAATGTAGTAGACTAATTATAAAAAGCTATAAACATATCCATCCATCATCACCTCAAATCTTTATTATTTTTGTGGTGAGAACATTTTAAATGTACTCTATTAACAGTTTTTAAATGTACAATATGCTGTTATTAGCTATATTCACCATACTACACAATAGATCTTTAAAAATAACATATTGTAAAAACCTATTCCTGTCATGTAACTAAGGCTTTGAACACTTAGACAATCATCATCCTATGCTATTCAGCCCCCTTTATCTGAGAAACACCATCCTACTTTCTGATTCTAAATTTGAATTGTTTGAGATTCCAAATATAAGTAAGAACATGTGGTGCAGGTTGAAATGCTTGGGACCAAAGTGTTTTGGATTATTTTTGTATTGTGGAATATTTTCATATGAACAATGAAATACTATGGGGATGGGACCCAATTCTAATAAAACAAATTCATTTATGTTTCACAAATGTGTATGTTTCATATACATAGCCTGAAGGCAGTTTTATCCAATATTTTAAATGCATGTGTGTTTTTGACTATGATCCCACCACATGAGGTCAAGTATGGAATTTTCCACTTGTGTCATCATGTTAGCACTTAAAATTTTGGATTTCAGATTTTTGTAGTACCAGAGCTCAACCTGCATTTGTCTTTGTGGGCCAGGCTTATTTCACGTAGCATAATGTTTTTTAATTCTACCCACATTGTCACAGAAAAATAGGACAGAATTATTTAAGGTTGAGTAGTATTCCGTTATGTAGTGTGATGGCTCCAGTTTTGTTGTTTTTATTCGTGATTTCCTTGGTAATTTGGTTTGTTTTCTCATTCAATATTAATTTTAGGGTTTTTCCCCCTAGATATATGAAAACTGACATTG